TATTACTCAATATTCTCAAGGTCTTTACCAAATCCCTTGTCAACAAATGAATTGAGCTGGTTTTAAGTTTTAAGCCTCAGTTTTCTTCACAGTGAATTTGGTAGGGGATCCTATGTGAAGAACCATACTGAGTAAATAGGAGAATGATATGCATCAAATCCAAGTGGTTATTTAACAGTGGCTCCTGAATGACTCCAACCAATCAAGTAAACAGGGAAAGTTTGAACAGTTGGATTTGTTTGTCTATTTTTTGTGAATAAATGCAACAAAAGTCCTTATGCACCTCATTCATATCCATAACGTAACACAATTCATTCTATTTTGCTTTTTTATTTTAAGTCGGGGTCTCACTCTGTCGCTAGACTGGAGTGCAGTAGCACAATCATGGCTCACCATTGCCTCAACATCCTGGGTTCAGCCTCCCGAGTAGCTGGGATGACAGGTGTGTGCCACCACATCTAGTTAATTTTTTAAATTTTTTTGTAGACACGCGGTCTTGCTGTATTGCCCAGGTTTGTCTCAAACTCCTGAGCTCAAGTGATCCTCCAGTCTCACCCACCCAAAGTGCTGGCATTACAGGCATGAGCCACCATGTTCAGCCCATTCTGCATTCAATTCCACACTCTATTCCTATCTCTTTCCAATACAACCGTCTCCACTGGTTTACAAACCTACAGTATTAGGCATATTAAGTGTATGTCTGTGTCACTTTCATTCATTATTTACTAAGCCTATAAATACTCATTGGGTATTCTAAATGCTAAAAGTTGGGCCAATGAACAAATAGATAGTCCCTGCCTCCATGGAGCTTACCACTAACTAAGAGAGAAGACAGGCAATTATTTGAATCACAGTTATGGTAAGTACTCCAAAGAATAGCACTTTGAGAGTATAGAGTTAATCTACCCTAGTCTAAGGGTTCAGGAAAAGTTTTTCTGAAGAAGCAACACTTAAGCTCAGGAAGTAAGGAGGAGTAGGAGCTGGACAGGAAGAGATAGAGGAAGGAGTGTGTGCAGGAAAGCCCACTGGGATTGGGGGTTGGAGCGCAGGAGCACAGACAATGCAGCTGGGACAATGAGGCAGAGAGAGTAAAGTAAAGCGAAATGAAATTAGGTTTAGACTGGGAGGCAACTACTTAGGGCCTTAAAAGTCAAGTAAGATCCAAATATCAAACTATGTACACCTTAAGTATATAAAATTTCTTCAATTAAAAAAAATTGTAAGGACAATGGGGAGCCAGTGAGAAAGTTCACAGAAGAAAAAGTGATACCCTTTAAGATCACTCCAGCTGCTCTGTCAAAAATGGAAGGGGGATGGAGAAGGTGGAACAAGGAAAGGAAGAACCAGTCACCAGATTATTACAGTATCCATGTGTCCATACAGTAACTTTCAAGAAAGGTAAAGTCATGACTCTCAGAAAAACGTTAACATGTGTAATGTTAACATGTGTCAAAGACTTTATTGAACTCATTAATTAATGAGGGGACCCCCCCATAAGGTGTCACAACCAGTTCAAGAGAAAATTCAAAAAAACACGTTTACATACAAAAAAGAAAAACTAAAGTCAATTAACAATAGATGCAAAAATTACTCTGTCCAAAGGGCAATAATCAATTGCATTCTGACTAATTTGTGTATTTATGGATAAGAATCATTTGCATTATTACCTATTTTCTACAGAGTTGTAAAGTACCCCCAAAAAATGAAAAGCAGAGGTAATCAAGGGCTGAGCAAGACAGGACACCCACTGATGTTTTCTGCCCATTTTAAGGTCTTTCACAATTTTTTCTAACATAGATAACAGTGACTTAAAAAAGAGAGGTGTCAGTAAAGCTGGAAAGAGGTGGACAATTCTGAATAAATACAGGACTTGGAATTAACAAGACTCAGCATTTGATTGAGACTTTGGATGGGAAGGGGGCTGCAAAGGAAAGGACTAGAGAAATGTCTGTTTCAAGATAAATTCCTAAATGGCAGAAAAAGCCATCAGTGTCTGTCTGGATTTCTCAGCCCAGGGGCCCTGCTGCTCTGTGGAGGGACCCATACCACAGGGAAGTAGTGGACCCATTACATAATTATATTTTAAAGTCCACCACAATATTCCAATGAACATGGATTAAAAAGAAAGAAAATTCATGTCTTTCAATAGGATTTTTTTTTTCTTTTTTTATTGCTTGTTCTAGCCTCTGGATTATCTAGTGACACCATGCACAAATACAGCCTTTCCCTGGTTCAGCAAGGGTTAAGCTGTGTGGTAGTCTATGGATATCTCCTGGTCTGGAAATGTGTTACTACCTCTCCTGAGATCCCCACTTGGAAGAAATCCTACTTATGAACTTAAAGATAGACAGAGGAACTGGGCTCGGTGGCTCAGTGTGTAATCCCGCGCCTTTGGAAGGCTAAGGTGAGTGGATTGCCTCAGCCCGTGGGTTTGAGACCCACCTGGGCAGTGAGACCTCATCTCTACAATAAATCAAAAAATCAGCCAGGCATGGTAGCGCATGCCTGTAATTCCGGCTACTTGGAAGGCTGAGGCGGAAGGATCGCCGGAGCCCAGCAGGTCGAGGCTGTGGTGGCCGGGAGCGGCCACTGCACTCCAGTCTAGGCGACAGAGTGAGACTCCAACTCAAAAAAAAAAAAAAAAAAGATAGAGGAAAGAAAAACCAATGTGGCTAAAGTTTGGTGTCACTACTATAAGTCTCCTTCTCATTATATCCAAATACTCATAATTTCCTAAATAAATTATTTTTGACTTTCATTTCTTGCTAGAAGTAATCTGAAATAAAACATTTTCAGGGTCATCCCACTTTTGATACTTGTCCTTTAAACAAAACAAATTTTTGGCTTCTGTGTCAGTTTACATACACAGGACTTTTACTAAAATTTACCAGTTCTTTTCTACTATTTTGGCAAGAATTACAAACATTCCAGGGCAAATAATTTACATGGAATTTAAAGCTCCCACGTACACTGCAAAATAATATACATTATCAATGTACAAGTGTAAATATCTAGTCCATTTACTAAACTAGTCTGGTAGTACATTTTAGGTCTTTTTAAAGATGGCAATGACCCACCATAAATACTAAGAAATTTATTTTCAATTATTCTCTCTCAATTGTATTCTCTATTCTTCAACATGCCCCCTTCCTTGTCTTCTTATACTTTCAATTTCTCTCCATTTTCATAAACAAGTACAAAAGTAATTTACCCGGTTTCAAATGTTCCCTAAACTTAATCTACAAAGACTGCAATGCTTTCAAATTTATCTTCAAAATTAGTTCTAAGGCAATTCTTCCCCAATGACTACATTAAGCTGCTAAAAACAGCTGCACTTGTTCTGTCAAGACAATGACCGTGTTATCCTCATAATAGCCAAGATGGATAATCTTACCCATATGAGAACTCATGAGACCACTGGAATAAAACATCTCATATCCAGATTCTCCCAGTTGCTAAAACTATGTCACCCAGAATACAGTTACATGCATTTAGATAGTTCAAAAGTATTTAATAATGTCAAGTCCAAAATGTATATGTTACATGTATCTCTAGACTAAAACAAACTGAAATTTACTGAAAACACCTGTGTCTGCTTTGGAATAATCCTTCACATAAAATCGCGAATTATGCAAGCACCTCTACATTCTTATTCTCTATATTCTTAATCCTTCTGTCAAAGTCACTTTCCCCATTCCTTATATTCTCAGAGACAAGAGAAAAATATCCCTCAACAAAAACTTGTAAAACCTAAGAAACACTGCAATCAAATAATCAGCTATAAATTGGGAGGTAGCACAATGTTTAAATTATGTTGCTACATAAAGTAATCTTAAAACATTCTCATTTTTTTCTCAAAGAAATACCAATGTTTATTTCCCTGACCTTTACAATTTTCTCAAATAGAAAATGTTGAAAAATAACTTTATATTAAAATAGCTTCCAGCTGGGCTCAGTGGCTCAGTCTGTAATCCCAGCACTTTGGGAGGCCAAGGCGAGTAGATTGCCTGAGCCCGCGGGTTCAAGACCCACCCGGGCAACTTGGCGAGACCTCGTCTCTACAATAAATCAAAAATTAGCTGGGCATGGTGGCGCGCACCTGTAGTTCCGGCTATTTGGAAGGCTGAGGCAGAAGGATCACCTGAACCCAGCAGGTCAAGGCTGCGGTGGCTGGGAGCGTACCACTGCACTCCAGTCTGGGCGACAGAGTGAGACTCCAACTCAAATAAATAAATAAATAAATAAAATAGCTTTAAAAGACCACAATAGGGTTTCTCTGAGAAACCTTTATTTTTCAACTTGCTAGAGTCGAATCCTATAATCCATTCATCTGAAACTTCTCCCCCACCTCAGACTTTAGTGGACAAAATCCCAACTTCAGTAATGAATGGATAATCATATCAGAACAAATTTGAAAACAACACTGCCAATTCCTCTCTTCAGCATGCTCTTTCCCTAGAATAATTATTGATCAAAGTATTGATTATGTTCCAAGTGGTTAGAAATGCTGAGCAAAACAGATCTTCGGAGGGAAATCTGAGAAAGTACACAACAAAAGTACCCACAGGGCAGATAGACATTATTACCACATCCACAAGAATGAAAATCCCTAAATATTTCTGACAGGGTAGAAAGGCTGCCTGAGTGGTAACGATGGGTTTAACCAGGCAAAATGAAATCATCAGCCTTTGAGCTAAGTGAACACAAAATTTTCTCAATAATAATTTCCTAGTTTTACCCAAGATTCACAGAATCAAAAGCAACACACTGTTGGCCGAGATACTCTGGAGAAGGCCAGTTAAACAGCACAACACAAAGCGTTTGCATCAGAATTTCCATTTAAACATGTCGAGAATACAGGAGGAGTGAGGGTATCTGCATGCTCAGAAGGCTTCTGTTAGGTCACATTTCACGGGGAAAATTCGCTGCACTTCCAACCAAGCTCTATCAGTCAGAATGAGGTGTTTGAATCATTGTCAAATTTTTGAAGTCTCAGTTACCTTTGAAAATCGAGCATTTATCCATTTGGTAAAGGTTTTCTTCTGCACGTCATTGTGTTCATCTGTGGGAGGGAAAAAGAGAGAGAAGGGAAAAGACTGAGTTTGTACTTTTAGTATGGCACTAGATGAGATTATCTCCATCCTGGGGAGTTTCAAATGATCTTATTAATGGAGTGCACGAGACACAACGATGCACAGCTAATGCTGAGCGTGATGGTGGCCGAGTTCATCATTTACATGAGCCTCACAATCCTACTACAGAAGGAGGCCCACACACCCTTCCCCGGGGGGATCTGCCTGCCTCACACTACGTCCCAGAGTATTGCTACCAGCCACTAAATCCAGGTCTGTGGGAAAGAACCAGAATTTACTGTCTATTACATCTACTACTTTCTGTTGCATTTGTCAGTTTCAGCATGAGCAAAATGTTAGCATGTTCAAAACACAAGTCAAAGGTATCCAGTAAAAACTAAGAAATTACTTTCTCCCTTGTTGCCCCCCAGAACAATGGTACAAAGCTTACAGTCAATCCTGTAATCTATTTTCCTGTAGTAAGACTGACTTAAGGTTTTAATAATCTTGATCTATACAAACATTTTACACGTAAAGAAATCAGAAGAGTTTAAAAACATGCCAGGCATGGTAGCACACACCTATAATTCCAGCACTTTGGGAGGCTGAGAGAGAGGGTTGCTTGAGCCCAGGATTTTGAGACCAGCCTGGGCAACAGAGCAAGATACCATCTCAAAAAAAAAAAAAATTATCAACTTTGGGTTTGATTACAAATTCATCTTCCAAGCCATAACAAGTAAAAAATTAACCTTCAAAAACAAAATCATTCTTAATTTCCTAAAGATGGACAGATTCATCTAGTTAGGTATAAGGAAACTGTGTGGCTAATAAAAAAAGCACAGGACTTTAAAACCAAATAGCCTATCCACTTACTGTGTGACCTTGGATAAGTCATATAACATCTCCTATCCTCATAGTTCTCATCTGTAAAATGGGAAGAAATAACACTCAGCTGCAAGGGTATTGTGAAGATTAGTGAATATAAGTGAGAAACATTTGGCATAAAGCTGGTGTTCAGCTTGTTGTTGTTATGATTAGAGTATAAGTGTAAGTAAGGCAGACAAACAAATGTCCATTTGACCCTCTCTGTTATTTCCACTCACACTTTCTTCCATCATGCCCCAATTTCTTATTAAAAATAGCAAAAGAGGCATTTTTGGCTTAAAGCCTACAAAAGCACCATTTTAACAATCTCTAACTAGTTCTAAGCTGTCTGTTCCCAAAGTATCTGGTACAGTGCAGAACGCCGTAGTTCCATCTGTAAGCATATACTGCCCCCTCCGCCATCAACCATATAGCCAGGTTGCCTCCCACATCAGAACAGCAAAAGAATAACAGAGAAGACCCAGACATGCTCTGCCCTCCATGTGTCAATTCCAAAGGGGCTACCTTCTAATAAACACAGACCTCTTGACTCTCTAAAGGATAATTAGAAGTTCACCGACTACTGCACCAAGTTTGTGTTATTTTTTGGTCCTTACTCCTTCCAGAAGGAGAATTTGTTATTAAGAGGTCATTCCTAGAATAAATATAGCAGCAGCTCCAGAAAAGTGTGCACTTTTATAAATCCATAAAGGTAACTGGAGACCAATTCCAAGACACTATGGAGCAACGGGTATAGAAAACAAAACTGTTCTATAGGAAACGTCTTGATGTTGATGGTGCTGGGAGATGAACTTCCTTCCAGAAGGAAAAATTAAGACAGTGTCAGCCCCTATTTCAGGCTTTATGTCATCTGACCAATGTCACACATAAGCCATCTAGTAACCAAGTGGACTTGTTTACACACTCAATGACTGAGCCAAAGTTATCATCAGAATATAAGGCTATCACCTTACATCAACCAGCAAAGGGCAATATACCAGCCTCACCAACATGAATATCATATTAAATATCAATGTTCATGGCACTTAGATAATGCAATTATTTGTCCCACTACCGTAAATATAATTTATTTTTGTATATTTTTCTATATCCATGATTCCTTAATCCTATGAATAAGAAATATAGAAAGTTCATAAATATCAAATTGTCTTAATTTAATAACATCCATACAACTTAAAAATTTGGGGGTATAATTAATAAAAACTTCTAGGGAGAGATATTACTAAATTTTATTCTTAACCTCTTTTCAGGGAACTCAATTGTCTTCTTTAAAAAACATATCAAAATATCTAATACTATGTAGGTTCCTCTCCAGATATACAGTATAGACATAGAAATGAGTGTCAGTTACCTCATCAGATGATAATCCTTCCATTTTAGCCCATACACAATGAAATAAAATTTTTAAAATAGATTCCCATTGCAGAAATGTTTATAAAAATTAATAATGTTTCTACAATAGTCTTTATTATTTGAGTCTAACTGAGAAAGTATTCACATGTACTAGATAAATTGTATATAATCAAATGTTTCAAAAGTACTCCAATTTATAAATACTCTTCTGCATTAATTTTCATGATACAGTTAAAGAGAAGAAAAAAAGGAGGTTATATTTCAATTTTAATTTGCATTTCTCTTTTTTTCAGACACACACATGCCCTCTTATTTTCTACCAGACAGGAATTCAGTAAAAGAACAAGAATTAGCCTGTGGCTTTTCAATTATGAGATTAAAATGTAACAAATTTGGAACACTTACTAATGTAGAACTGACCTCCAAATCATAACAATTGACGTAAACAACCTTGGCCCAGGTATCTACTAAGGAGGTGAAAATACAATAGCAAACTGTAATAGGACAACTGAAAATCTGTCACATTATTCAAATCAATCATTTTGCCCTTTTTTTAACAGTCTCAAATTATTTCAACCCTCGTGATCAAGCCAATTTGACAATTTAATTTCTCCAAAGCAAAAATGTATAAACACATATAACTTGATCACTTATATATGTATTAAATGAGTGAATATAATTTACACTGCAAGTATACCTTCTCTAGATACATTAGGTTTCCAAACTTCCACTACTGTTTCTTTAGATTTGGATTTTAGAAAACCATTTCGTCTCCGAAAGCCTTCCCTGGCTTAGCAAATCTTATCCATTAATGACCTTTCTCCATTAGGAGGACAAACACGAGACTGAATTAGGAGAAGAAAAATGTGTTAAATCCCTTAAGGCTGCTTTTCCAAATTCTTCCTCTAAATATTTTACTCTTCTTAAAATGCTTTTGACAAGCTCACACAGCTCCAGGGGTTTTCCCTGCTGCCTAGCCTGGAATTTTATTTCTCTGGTAGGTAAGAGAAGGAAAGCAAGAAACATCAACAAAACTGCTTGATAAATCTTCAAGGAAACTGATTTGAAAATGTTTTCACTTCACCAGCTCAAATGCATATCAAAACTTCTTCTTTTAGCAGAACGTAGCAACAAATCTCAATTTAACTCCTAAACTGGAAATGTGACAAAGAAATTAGGTGCTATTTCCCCTATGGAAACACACAAATCTTAGGAAGATGTATTCCACCACTGAACCTCTAATGCTATTAGAGAAAAAGCATTATCCTCCAGCACAGCTTTCAAAGCAATTTCAGAGTGTCCAGTAGGTTGGCACTAACCTAACAGCTATTCAGAAAAGAAGTCCCTAGACCAACAAAAAAAAATCACCTCTTAGGTACAATGTACACAGGTGCAGGTGGTAGGCACACCTAAAGCCCAGACCAAAATCATTTGTACCCCCCAAAGCTATTGACATTTTTAAAAAATCAGGTCAGGGGTGGTGGCTCAAGCCTGTAATGCCTGCACTTTGGGAGACCGAGGCGAGAGAATTGCCCGAGTTCAGGAGTTCAAGACCAGCCTGTGCAACTTGGTGAGACTTGTCTCTACAATAAATTAAAAAATTAGTGGGGTATTGGGGCACGTGCCTGTAGTTCCAGCTACTTGGAAGGCTGAGGCAGAAGGATCGCCTGAGCCCAGCAGGTCAAGGCTGTGAGTGTGCCACTCCAGTCTGGGCAACACAGTGAGACTTGAACGCCAAAAAAAGGAATTTAAAAAATTAAAAAATAAAATTTAAATGTCCCTAGATCGTAAGCCAAAAAAAAAAAAAAAAAAGTCTTGTTGGATAATTTGAAACTTGAATTGGCTGCATTAAGACCCGTTTCACAAGCACAAAATTTCACACACCCTAAGAAGTCAATTTCTCATTAGCAAAAAAAAAAAAAAGATTATTCTGGAAGCAATAAAAGTATTTCGGACCATACTCCCACTTCCATTTCGAACACCACATGTTAATCACCCCCAATATTAATCTATTACTAACACTTAGTCATGCCATTCTACTGTTGTTTTCTCATATTCAATGTGCTAGTCTCTGAACAACACCAATTCATTTACTCAAACAATATGCATTAAAAAGCCATATGGAAATAATAAACATTATATAATAATTTGTTAAATATTATAAATTTGTAGACAAACTGAACCAACAAGAGACAAACTGCTGTCAAGCAGGTGCTTAATCTCCCTGAGCTTCTTTCAAAATCCAACATCCTCAGAGAACCAAAAAAACCCTAAAATGAAAAATAGTTTTCAGAATTATCAAAACTACTCAAGTATACAAGAAGTTTATATATTAACATTTTAAATAATATTTTATGTTTGTCACATTTATACATTCAAGTTATTAGAGCCAAGAACTGCCTTTTAAACAGACTTCCACTTCACTCGGTATAAAGCGAAATACAAGTTGATGGTCTCTTTGGGAGAGGAGGAGATAGATGGAGTGAGAAGAAAAGGGAGGATGAGGCCCGGAGACATAAATTAAATAACTGCCCAGTGTCACCCTCTCAGCAAGTGCCGGACCACAAAGAAAACAAGGTCTAACTAACCGCTGAGCCTATGTTCGATACACTTCCAAGTAAGGGAGAGTTTTAAAAAGTTTAATAGAAGAAAAGGAGTCTTTAAAATAAATCTTGAAAGACAGATGAAGTCTGGTTTATTCAAAGATGGAAAGAAGGGCATTCTAGACAAAGTAAGCTAGTCAATTCCTTCT